AGAGTTGTTTAAGTGAGAGAAAATCTGTAACTTAGTCCAGACTGGGGGAATTGTAATGTTTAATAATTTCTTTTATTATGTAAATATTTTTTGCATTGAAATTTGCATAGATTTTTGTTTGTATATGCTGTAAATTATAGTTCTTAGAAAGAAAATCGGAATCGGCAAAAATCGGTATCAGCAGGTCTCACTTCCAAAAAATCGGAATCGGCCAAGAAAATTGCAATCGGTGCATCTCTATAAAATATGTTAGTATAATAATGTAGCTTAGCATGCTAATCTGGTCAACATGCTAAGTAATGCTTTTATGTAATTATTCTCACACTGAAAGCTCTCCTCAGCAGCCTGATGAGTGTGCACTGACTGAATGGCAGACTCTGCTGGGCCGCAGGCCCCGAACCCTCCATGTAGTGGGTTCGAATCCAGTGTGGCACATAACATGTGGTGCACTTATATACAAAATCTTAAGAGTGTTTTGTGCTTTTGAGATGCACATTGTGGAGCTTTTGACTGTTTGGTGTGATGTGCTTTGATGACTTTGCTATGACTGTTATGCTTGTTGTACATGCTGTGCTTGCTGTGCTTGTAGTGCTTGCAGTGGTAGCTATGCTTGCTGCACCTTCGGTCCTTGGCCCCCTGCTTACAGCTATATTTTTGTTTTGTTTTGCTTTGTGTACAGTCACAAAAAGACAATTTGGACTGAATTCAAAATTCTGACTGCAAACACAGAGCACACAAAATTGGATGTCTTTTGCATGTAACGCTATACATTCAGCAATGGTCCTGGGCACAATGGAATATAATTAGATTTTTGAATACGAGTAGGAAGATTATATCTTTGTCTTTAAGATTTGGCTTGTCCTTTCCATTCACTAAAAGGCTTGAGGCAAGAAAATAATCTCAATTATAATTCAAAAAGCTTCTAACCTTCCCTGCAAGTCATCCAGAGTTAATCTTCCTCCATAGTGGGTAGCTGAAGACATAATGACTATTCGGGAAAATTTCCCAGGTTTGCCTGACTTCTTCAGCACATCCAGCAACAGGATTGTCAACAGGAAATGGCCCAGGTAGTTTAGCCCAAAGTGCAGCTCAAATCCATCCTCTGTTCTCCTCTCCGGAACAAGCATAACACCAGCTGCAGATATAAAGGAACATCATTGGTGATATATTGTGAACAGACAGAATATGCAGGACACCGGGAAGAATCCTACTAGGCTTGATCAAGTATTCACACCTTGAAAATGACTCATGAGTCCCTTCTGAGTCACTCTTTCCTCTGGTTTGAAAAGCGATGAGCTTCATGCGCTTTGAGAACACTGTACCACATGCAGCTCTCTGAATACTGTGGATTAGGTATTGCTGGTTTATTGATTTGCGTCTTTTTTAACAGCTTTTAGCGCACAGAAGGATGTCAGAGATGTCTTCATATGAAACTGAACTAGCGAATAACCATTTCCTCCACTAATGTTCTTAATGTGTTTTTTTCTTGTTAATTCATGTTCTTGCTGAGAAGAAATAATAGTTTTGATGAAAAGATGTGAAGAATGTGTCACATTCACACATAAAAATATCCTTCCACAGAAATGCATGTCTTTAAAAAGAGCGCCACAAGATAATTAAAGTTGGTGGATCCCAATATTAAATGGATGTAATCTGGTTTAAAACCCTGACCGAGACTGAGCATCAGCATTCATACGGGAATAAGCTTCTGCTCTTGAAAACATGTTTCATCATTATTTTGCTCTTAACAGAATTACAGTTCAGTTTGCAGGAGAAAACCGTAATCAGGATTATAAAAATGTCCTCAGCATATTAAATGAACATGAAACAAGTTTTTTTTATTTTTATTTTTTTTATTAAACTCATGCTGAAAAGTAGGGCTGGGCGATACACCAAAAATGTTACCATGATATTTTGTTCCATATCATACAATATTGATATTTATCACAATATTCATTTACCATTAATGGAGAAGGACATGCTTTCCAAATGTTTGGTAGGCCTTAAGAATGAATGTAAATATAAATTGTTTGTTCAAACTCCATAAGAGTAAGATACCTTTTAATTTAGGGCCCTATGAAACCCATTTAATGCTCTTCATTTTATTTTTTTGGATTCTGTGTTTTATTATTTAATACCAATTTATCATCAAAAATGGTGTCTAATGAAATAAACTGATAACTTTAACAGTTGATTAAATCTTTTAAAAATGTAATCAAATTAAAATATAAAAATTTATTTACCACAAAACACTTAATTTTTTATTTTTTTGTCAGTTCTGCAGAACTGTATAAATTAAAATGGGTGAAAAAAAAAATCTTAGTATGATATTTCTTAAACCAACTGTTTTGCCGCTTTACGTCACCTGCATCTGGACCAAAAAGCTGCGCTTGAACACACTGCACAGATTATAGCCGACTGCAAACTAGCATGTGCGTTCTGCACCTGTGTGCAAGGAATTAACTGTATATCATCAGGTATCAATAGTATACAGTCATCATTCAAAAGGAGAAACCGAAACCAGGATATACAAGATACGCAGATATACGAAATGTAAACAAAGCAGTTTTTTTGAGATCGGCCTTTTTAGAGACCGCCGATCAATCATCCCAATGTGATTATCGGCCGATAATGATCGGTAGCCGATCAATCGGAGCACCCCTAATTAAATCTTTGTCTTTAAGATTCAGCTTGTCCTTTCCATTCACAAAAAGGCTTTAGGCAAGAAAAGAATCTCAATTATAATTCAAAAAAGCTTCTAACCTTCCCTGCAAGTCATCCAGAGTTAATCTTCCTCCATAGTGGGTAGCTGAAGACATAATGACTATTCGGGAAAATTTCCCAGGTTTGCCTGACTTCTTCAGCACATCCAGCAACAGGATTGTCAACAGGAAATGGCCCAGGTAGTTTAGCCCAAAGTGCAGCTCAAATCCATCCTCTGTTCTCCTCTCCGGAACAAGCATAACACCAGCTGCAGATATAAAGGAACATCATTGGTGATATATTGTGAACAGACAGAATATGCAGGACACCGGGAAGAATCCTACTAGGCTTGATCAAGTATTCACACCTTGAAAATGACTCATGAGTCCCTTCTGAGTCACTCTTTCCTCTGGTTTGAAAAGCGATGAGCTTCATGCGCTTTGAGAACACTGTACCACATGCAGCTCTCTTAATACTGTGGATTAGGTATTGCTGGTTTATTGATTTGCGTCTTTTTTAACAGCTTTTAGCGCACAGAAGGATGTCAGAGATGTCTTCATATGAAACTGAACTAGCGAATAACCATTTCCTCCACTAATGTTCTTAATGTGTTTTTTTCTTGTTAATTCATGTTCTTGCTGAGAAGAAATAATAGTTTTGATGAAAAGATGTGAAGAATGTGTCACATTCACACATAAAAATATCCTTCCACAGAAACGCATGTCTTTAAAAAGAGCGCCACAAGATAATTAAAGTTGGTGGATCCCAATATTAAATGGATGTAATCTGGTTTAAAACCCTGACCGAGACTGAGCATCAGCATTCATACGGGAATAAGCTTCTGCTCTTGAAAACATGTTTCATCATTATTTTGCTCTTAACAGAATTACAGTTCAGTTTGCAGGAGAAAACCGTAATCAGGATTATAAAAATGTCCTCAGCATATTAAATGAACATGAAACAAGTTTTTTTTATTTTTATTTTTTTTATTAAACTCATGCTGAAAAGTAGGGCTGGGCGATACACCAAAAATGTTACCATGATATTTTGTTCCATATCATACAATATTGATATTTATCACAATATTCATTTACCATTAATGGAGAAGGACATGCTTTCCAAATGTTTGGTAGGCCTTAAGAATGAATGTAAATATAAATTGTTTGTTCAAACTCCATAAGAGTAAGATACCTTTTAATTTAGGGCCCTATGAAACCCATTTAATGCTCTTCATTTTATTTTTTTGGATTCTGTGTTTTATTATTTAATACCAATTTATCATCAAAAACGGTGTCTAATGAAATAAACTGATAACTTTAACAGTTGATTAAATCTTTTAAAAATGTAATCAAATTAAAATATAAAAATTAATTTACCACAAAACACTTAATTTTTTATTTTTTTGTCAGTTCTGCAGAACTGTATAAATTAAAATGGGTGAAAAAAAAAATCTTAGTATGATATTTCTTAAACCAACTGTTTTGCCGCTTTACGTCACCTGCATCTGGACCAAAAAGCTGCGCTTGAACACACTGCACAGATTATAGCCGACTGCAAACTAGCATGTGCGTTCTGCACCTGTGTGCAAGGAATTAACTGTATATCATCAGGTATCAATAGTATACAGTCATCATTCAAAAGGAGAAACCGAAACCAGGATATACAAGATACGCAGATATACGAAATGTAAACAAAGCAGAACTTGCTTACCATTTTGAATATCAGTTATGTTGGTAACTTTCTTCATTTTAAGTGGCTCATGTTGATATGAAAATATTTGCGTATTGGAATGCTTGAGTAAGATAATGCCACCTTATAACAGCCTTCTGTCTAAGCCGTCTTGACTTGCTTGCTCGTTTTCATCACTTTTGCTTTAATTCTCATGCACTGACCCATTCATTAAACTGAGTATCCAACAGACCCTTTTCACAATAACGTCAGCTATCTTCAGCTTTTCCGCAAAGCAGCGTATCTGTACTTCCGTTATACCTTTACACTGGAGACTTCTCGGGAAAATGCGGGAACAACTTGAAATATAAAGGCGTATGTTAATAGTTAAGGCTAATAATGTTAATGTACTTACAGACGGGTTCTTTTGCGAATGTTATTCTACATCTGCTTTAGATGGTTTGGAGGCTAGCTTGAAGCAACTGTAGAAATGGTATAGACTTTAGACTAGGCTTTCAGATTTGTATGATAACGATTACGTATCCACACGAAATATATACTTAAAACCATTTCACTTGTTATTTTGGTTTATGTCATTCCCTGGATAACTTAATTGATTTATTTCAGTTGTTGCTGTGATGATTGTAATAGTGAGTATACTGTGTAAATTCTCTGTGTAGGCTATATTTATATGCAAGTGTAGTTGTTCTGCAATAAAAATTTTTACTAAGGAAAAAATTACATGGACGTAAGTCATATTTTATATATAATATTCTCATATTAAGGCAAGTTTCACATCCATAAATGCAAGTGATCTGAAAAGGAACCCAATATTATCCAGTTTAAGAATAAAATGGCTTTATATTGAAACAATGCAAGAAAGACCGCCGTCAAGCCGTATGTACTACAGAACCTCTACAATTACTTTAATTCCCCCGTTTAATTTGACTTTACATGTATACCCTCTTTTTCTTTGTGAATTATGATGATCGATCATATTCTATGTTCGTTATAGGCTATATGCAATGTGATTTTAAAAACAGCTGATGTGCGTTTTATTTATTTACATAAATATTCACAAATCTGTAACAGTAAAAGCTTTTTAACAGTAAAACAGTAGAAGTTAACAGTAAAAGCTTTTTATGTAAACTTAATATATTTATAATTTTTTTATGAATTATACTGTGTCATGTTTATCAAAATAAAGCGGAAAAATATAGCCTCCATTTTATTGACATTTAAATAGTACAAGCTTTTGTACATACAGACGCTGTATTGAGCAGTACATAAATTATTGAATTAAAAGGCTTTCTGTTACCACATGTAAATATCTCAAAAGTTTGATTATTTGACAAATATATCTAACCAACTTCATCTAACTGCAATAAAGACAGCAAACACTGCACGAGAGTTGCGGGAATCAGAAAGTACGTTTTCAACTCCTCCCTCGACTTAAAGCAACAAATCTCGCCAATCGATATTCGGTAAGTTCGTTTGAGATGCCAGACGCCTCTCCTTTAATGAGGACGAGAGAAGACAGCTGCAGTCATCCTCTAATCGTATTTGTGGCAGATCTATAAGTGTCTAGGTGAACTCCATGCTGGTAGCGATAGCGCTTTACTATGCTGGCGGAAGTCAGAATACCCTGCTTCGAGTCAGAACGGAAGTTGCGTGACATCATGTGAAAAGGGTCTATCAGAGTTCTCACTCTCAACGATGTCCCTGATGCCGATTCAACATGTTGAATCGTGCAAACTGCCGCCAACGTAAGCCCGACGAGAGCCGACAAGTAACACACTGCAAGAACTAGCCCGACAGATGCTCGCCGATGGTCAGACGTTGGCCGACGGTCACTTGGTGTGTCCCGGCCTTTATTACCAGATAACAACTCTTGCCATTAGCAATGCCAAATAACATACACTCATCCCGGTATTTGAGGCCTGTGCTTCTGTCACATCTCTCAAATCACACCGCCACGCTGTCTCTCGTTTCTTTCAAATGCAACTGCTATCATCTCGCACCTCAATTATCGACTGTATTCACTGTAAAATAAAACCCGGAGGACTTCTGTATTAATAGTAGGCCTGCAGTAATATAAAGCATTTGTCTTGTTGTCAGAACAGTTGTTTTGTACACTGTCATGGATTTAAGATAATAAACAGGTACATATCCAGCCGGTTGTTATTGCACAATAAACCTCTTCAGGGTGACGCAAGACTGTACATTATCCCTTAGGTAATATATTTCTGTCATAATTTCTTCAAGTTAAACCTAACTTTTACTTTGGTGGGTTGTCATAAAGATCTTTGAGTTTCAGTTTATATTTGACAGTAGTTTTTCCTCGCTAGAAGTTGTGTTTATTTCTGCTGTGCTTAATAGGCTGTTAGATTAATACATATTGAGTAAAAATGTCCGGAGCTTATCATTAATATCAACATCAATTTTACCACAATCTTGGTATGTTATTGTTTATTGCCCGGCTCTACTGGAAAGTTAAACCTAATGCATCCTAATGTTATCGATCCATGATTGAAGGATCTCTGAAGAGACAATAAATGTCCCCTGACTCTCCCTCAGACACATGCTTTGTCCTGTCCAGCCGGGGCACTAGAGGGGTCAAGCACTGACCTTTCTGCATCATTAGACCCTCAATGGGGTGGCACAAATGCGTTTGCCCATCAACCGGCATCAGAGGAGAGGGTGTGTGCCACAGAGAACAAACAGGAAAAGGGGAGCATGAATTATTAATTCTCTCTGTTAGGGAGAGGACAGTGTGTGACTGCTCCTGTCATTTTGAGACATTCCCTGGGGCAGGTTTCTAAATAAAAGTCACTCAGTTAAAACAAACAACCCCTAAGGCCCTCAGGACACAGACCAGACATGTCCAACAGAGCGAGCTTAGGACGCAAGAGATTTCGGGTTGAGAGACAAGATGTACGGCACTTATAAATGATAATTAGCTAATACTTCACAGGTTTAAGTTGTTAACATGAATGCATTAAGTATCACAAACTAACAATGAACAGTAATTTTGCAGCATTTATTAATCTTAATGTAAACAAAATATACTATTATACATTGCAATTTCATGTTTGTTCATTACACGTGTTCATTTATATAATGTGAAATGTTAAAATGTCTATGGAGAAATTAATATGGACCTAAAATAATAAATGCTGTAACAAGTACTGCATTTTCAGTATTAATTTGATGTGGTGTCAGGGGCGGACTTACCCATTAGGCAAAGGTAGGTGACCGCCTTGGGCCACCAAAAGCCAAGGGCCCCCTAAAATGCTTTTCATATAGGAGATGCGCATTAAGCGCTGACACGTGAACGGTTGCTGTTTACGGTGTTTATTACCACGACAACCGTCCGAGTCAGTGGCGCCTGCAGGTGTACGGCTGTACGCATTTTACAAATGGGAATACAACGAATTCGTGACAATGTTTACATTCAAGCTACCCATAAAATTTATAGTGAAAAGTACTTTAAAAGCGTATGGAATGCAATAAAGTAATTTTAAAGCTGTTTTTAAATTTTAAAAAAATAGGCTAATAAATAATTCACATATCTAACAAAATTGCTTTGCAGTAAATCCTTTAAATTTTAAGGTATTCAGAACAGAGCAACATAAAAATCAGATAAAGCAGCTATACAACTATAGGACAAAGTTTTACATATATGCCATTATAATTTGTGTTTTATTTTTTAATTGTACCGAATTATAAAATAAAACTCAAATTATAATCGGGCCTGTTTGAGGCTTTTCCTTATTTTTATATTTTAGATATCCATAAATTCTGGTGATGAAAAAAAATGACTCGCCATCTCCTCGTTGGATGTGCCTTTAGAGAGAAATGCACGGATTACATAATGAAAGAGTTTCTATTTTCGATTTGAATTATTTCGTTTTAAAGTAGTAATTTTAAGCTTTCTATTTTTGATCATGTCTGAGTTTAGGTTCATCATTGTGAAGCGCTCCTGTTCAAGACCGAGACGGCAGAAAGCGTTTGTTTTCTTTATTTTATAAAAGCACAACGTTTTGTTGATATTGTGAGTGCACACAAATAAAAGTAGACCCTTTACAGTTTAGAATGATGTATTACTCTTACCTTTATGAGCACAAATGACTGCGTATTTTAAGTTGTTTCCACTGTTAGAAAAATGCAAGAGATGGCGCTGGCGCCTCCATGTCCTGCAGAACACCGTAAACAGCAAACGTTCGTGTGTCCGTGCTTAATGCGCATATCCTATATGAAAAGCATTTTAGGGGGCCCTTGGCTTTTGGGGGCCCAAGGCGGTCGCCTACCTTTGCCTAATGGGTAAGTCCGCCCCTGA